AACTAACTCATGTTATGAGGCTAACATAAAACCCAAAAGGGCACCTTGAGAGGAAAACTATAGGTAAATTTTACTTGTGTACCTGGATGTGAAAATCATAAATAAAATGTTTTCAAACCGAATAAGATGATAAAAAAAATGTATATCATGTCCAAGTTGGGTTTACACCAGGAATGCAATGTTGATTTAATATTAGAAATAACACCAGTACAATTTTACCATATCAGAGAAAAATAATGACCATCTCAATGGATGTATAAAAATTTTTAATAAAATTCAACATGTATTCATGATATAAATTCTTTTTATTTTATTTTTTAATTTGAGACAGAGTCTCACTATATTGTCAACTGATCTTGAACTCTAAACTAATCTTTCCACCTCAGCCTCCTGAGTAGCTAGCACTACAGGCATATACCACCATAACTGGCTCATATGCATGATACAAATTCTTAGTAAACAAGGAATAGAGGGGACTTCTTTAATCCTGTGAAGGCTATCAACAAAATAACTTAAAATAATCCCCACAGGTAACAGGGAAAAACACAAAGGTGTCCAGTAAAGTAAAGCAAAGAAATAAAAGGATTGGTTGGTTTTTTTTTAATAAAAGTATAATTATTTATAGATGATACATACAAAGAAACTTGAGAAGCATTTTGAAATAAACATTTGAACTTAAGTTGCTGAGATTAGTCTTGAACTTGCAATCCTCCTGCCTTAGCCTCCTAGGTTGCTCAGATTACAGGTGTAAATTTAAAAGAATAGAAAAAAAATGGATATTACAAAATGCTGTTTCTATATACTAGCAACAAACAGAAAGTGAAATTTGGGGTAACATTTAAATTAGTATTTTAAAAAATCAAGTACCTAGTAATAAATCAAGAAAAGAAGTATAAGACCTCTCTGGAGAAATTTATAAACTTTAATATCTATTTATCTGTCTATATCTTAAATTTTAATCCATGAACACAGTCTATCTTTTTTTAAAAAAAAAAATATTTTCAGTTGTAGACGGGCATAGCATCTTTATTTTGTTTATTTAAGGTACTGTGGATCAAACCCAGTACCTCACATAAGCAAGGCAAGTGCTCCACCACTGAGCCACAACCCCAGTCCATAGTCTATCTTTATTTAAGTAGAGAGACAGATAGACTATGTTCACAGATTATAATACCAGTCTTATAAAAAATAATATACACTATAATGACAATTTTCTCCAAATTTATCTAGAGACTAAATCCAAAATCTCAACAGATTTTTTAAAAAAACATGACATGCTAATTCTAATTGATATGAAATGTAAAGGACCAAAAATAAAGTTAAGATTCTTATAGGAGAACAAGAATGTGGGAAGAGGGCTAAGGTTGTAGCTCAGTGATAGAGTGCTTGCCTACCATGTGTGAGGCACTGCGTTCAATCCTCAGCACCACATAAAAGTAAATAAATAAAATAAAGGTATTATGTCCATCTACAACTAAAAAAAATGCTCATTCAAAAAAAAAATGTGAGAAGATATACATATTCTAACCAGATATGAAAATCTAAAAAGTTAGATGAACGTGATCAAGGAATGGGGAAGGAGGGAGGGAGGGAGAAAGTGCTGGGGAGTGATATTGGTCAAATTATATCGTTACATTGTGTGCATGTTTAAATAAATTGTAAATAATATTATAATAATATGCATAAATATTCATTAAATTAATACTTAAATATAATTATTAATATAAAAAAGAAATAAGGTAAAAGTATTATCACTATATGAATCACTACATAAGGCAAAAACTTTAAAAAGCCAGGAAGATATAGGAATTTCAAATTACTGGCATCATGCAGAAAATGATCAGTACCATACACATACCTAGAAAAATTACATTCATTCAAAATATGAGGCAGGGTTCTAGTTCATGGAAAAAAAAATTAAACAAATTAGATACGTTGGGGGCTGAAAGATTCACAAGTTCAAGAAGAGGTCAAAGCCAGCTTAGGCAACACAGCAAGACCCTGTCTCAAAATTTAAAAGGGCTGGGGATGTAGTTCAGTGGTAGAACATGTGCCTAACATGCATGAGGCCCTGTATTTGATCCCTATCACCTCAAAAAATAAATCTGACAATAAAAATACTGAGAAAAATATGTACTTGATTGAGGAAATACTCACATTCTCGAAAATGACTTAATTTGGTCATTACTTCTTTCTTGAACAGCTGAATGACCTGCTCAACAATCTCCCGATTTTGATTCTGGCCCAAGGCATCCACATATTTCTCCAGAAGAGGAATGTTTTTCAGGTTCCAGATAAAGTTCTCCCGATGAAGATTACTTAACTTTGGGTGATGGAATTTCTAAATCAAAAGTAAGAAACAGCCTCTTGATAGAGCAACCACTACTAAGAGCTCCACTATGCAAGAGGACTACACCATTGTATTCTCTCATGGTCTCTGACCTACTTATTGACATTAATCCACAAAATTCATATTCATACAAAATCTCAAAGTTTTGGGAGCACATTTCTATCTCACTTGATCCTCACCACTGTGTGAAGATAGATATTCACATTGGAGACAGCTCTCAACTCTATTTTCACCCACATGAGCTGACCCTGGTCCCTTGTTACTATTCTGATTTCATCTTTCACTACTTTTATTCACTGGACTCCAACCACACTGGCCTAATTGCTGCTCAGGGAACCTCACAGCCTTTGCATTTGCTGTTTCCTCTTCCTGGGATGCCTTCTTCACATATCCACATCATTAGTGTTATCATTCCTACGGGATGTTTACTCAGAAAACACCTTCTCTTCCTGACCCCTCCATTTAAAATTTTAACCATCTCTCCAATATTCTGTAGCCTTCTTCTATGGAACATCTCCCACGGGAGGCACTTTTGCCCCTTATTCAGATGGCTCTGACTGTGTTCTTCCTTTTGCTGAACTAAAATCTGATTCTCCAATACTGTCCATGCTACTGGTTCCAACTGCAATCTCTGGGGCCATTTGCAACAGGATTAGTTCTTCTTCCACAAAACTGTCCTCCAGATCTTTGAAGATAGCATCGCTGCCCCTTTGGAGTCTTCTCTTTCACAAATCAAACCTATCTGGATCTTTCAACTATTTCTCATAAGATATGGTTTTAAATCTCCTTACCATCTGGTGTGTTAAATGCTACTTCGCATCACAAAAGTACTCTACACAGTAAGCACTGAAAACACTATTGTGAGTTGTTTCATCTGAGGAGTGGTATTATAATTAGGAATGGAGATGATGGGGGAGAGGATAAATTTTCATGTTATGTTATTCAGTACTATTTGATATTTTGCCATGCATCTACATTACTTTTATTTATTTTATTTTTTGGTTATCAGGGATTGACTCAGGGGCACTCAACCACTGAGCCACATTCCCAGCCCTATTTTGTATTTTATTTAGAGACAGGGTCTCACTCCTGTGTGCCACCGCACCTAGCTGTTACTTTTATTTTTAAAGAAAGTAAAATATAACAATTTTGAGTTTCCAGTGCAGCACCACTTTACTCAGAGAAGGCTTGGAGTCAGCTTCTACAGTGGTAGCACTATTGTCCCAGGCATCCACAGGAAGCCTCTCAGTTCTGATATTATAAAGTAGTGCAGGGGTTGGGGTTGTGGCTCAGTGGTACATTGCTTGTGTAGCATGTGTGAGGCACTACGTTCGATTCTCAACACCATATGAAAAAATAAATTAAATGAAGTAGTGCAAAGAACACCGGGCTTGAGTCAGACAGATACTGGTTTCAACAGGCTCTACCACTTAGATATTGAATCTCAGTTTTCTTTCTTTTTTTTAATATTTTTTTTAGGTGTAGATGGACTCAATATAATGCCTTTATTTTTATGTGGTGATGAGCATCGAACCAGGATCCCGCTCGAGCTAGTCGAGCACTCTACCGATGAGCCACAATCCCAGCCCTGAATCTCAGTTTTCTTAACAATAAAATCAAGATATCTGTCATTTGTGAACTAAGACAAGAAATAAAGACCTAATACATATAGGTGCTCAATAAATGTTTGTTGAATATGAATTTTGCATCTGAGCTGGCCTGTCTTTCCTTTGCTCCTTGTACAGCAACCTGAATTCCTGACAGTTTAATCAGCACTCTATTAGTCTATCTCCTCCCCTTCATTAGTTTCCTCACTCTCTCCCCTTACCTCAGCTCCCATTTGGTCCCTTGACTTATAAATGCTTCAGTTCTGATTCCTGTAATCTGCAGAGCTCCTTTCTACTCTGGATCCTATGGGTCTGCCCAGCTGCTAGAAACTTCAATGGCTCACCCATATCCCTACCAGAGTAGTCACAGCCTCTGTCACACCTATAGGATTGAACCACTGCACCTGTGCAGTATTATTTTTCACTGATACTGTAGTTCCTAGTACTTATAGGAAAACTGAGAATTTACCACCTGCAAATGCATGGGAAGAGGCTGGTGAGGGGATGAGCAATGGGAATAAAGTATCATAAAATGAACTGCAATACCAAGCAAAGAATGCTTTCCTTCATTCCCTCTAAAGTTTCCCTGTTCCCTATAAGACAACTTAAAATTTTTAAGTTGCACAACAGTGTAGTAGGTGGCTGACTGCACAGCAGAACTTATGTCAGCAATGATATGGTGCTATCTGCTTCTGAAAACTGTATTAGTCATTTTAGGATTCAGCAGAGAAAGTTGAAACTTCAGTAGCAAAGGCATATAAATGAAGCCCACCAACAGGGTAAAAAGATCGATGCTAAAGGAGTTGGTGTAATCCTTATTGAACTACCAATGACATTCTTTACAGAAGTAGAAAAATCAATCCTAAAACTTGTATGGAACCACAACAACAACAAAAAAACTCAAGTAGCCAAAGGAATTTTGGGAGAAAAAAAAATCAAAGTTGAAAGCATCCTACTCCCTCATTTAAAGTTATATTACAAAGTTACAATAATCAAAATAGTATGGCACTGGCATAAAAGCAGAAAGACCAGGGGAAGAGAATAAAAACCTAAAAATAAATCCAAGGATATATGGCTAATTAATTTTCAACACCAAAAAAGATATAATAGGGAAAGGATGTCTCTTCAAAAAACGGTGCTGGGAAAATTAGACATCCACATGCAAAATAATGGAATTGGACCCATATATCATATACAGAAATCAATTAAAAATGAAAATATATATGTAAATGTCAGATCTGAACCCATAAAGTTCCTGGAAGAAAACAGGGGAAAAGTTCCTTGACAATAGCCTTGACAATGACTTCTTAGATATTATACCCAAAAATCAAACTACAAAAGTAGAAATAAATATATGGGATTATATCAAATTAAAAAGTTTCTACACAGGAAAGAAAAAAGATAACAAGCTGAAAAGGCAACTTACAGATTGGGAAAAAAATATTTGCAAACCATGTGTCAGATAAGGGGTTAATATTCAAGATTTATAAAAGACTCCTACAACACATAGCAAGAAAACATACAACCAATTTTTTTAAATGTGCAAAGAACTCAAATAGATATTTGTTCAAACATGACATAAAAATGGTCAACAGGTACAGGAAAAGGTGCTCACCATCACTAATCCTCAGGGAAATGCAAATCAAACCACTGTGAAAAATTTCCTCCACCTGTTAGGATAGCTATTATCAAAGACAATGGATTTCACTCTTATTTAATAAATTCTGAAACTGTGGGAAGAAAAAAAAAAAGAAGAGAAAACAAGTATTGGGAAGCTGTGGAGAAAAGGGAACCCTTGCACACTGCTGGTAGGAATGTAGATTGATGAAGCTAAAGAAATTAAAAACAGAACTGCCCTATGAGCCAGCAATCCCTCTCCTGGGTATATGCTCAAAGGAAATAAGACCACCACCTTGTAAGGACACCTATGCTTCCATGTTCATTGTACTGTATTTAGGATTTTTGCTGAGTAGATTACAGCTGCTCTTGTCATGGCAGGAGGAATAACTATGTGAGGAGGCATATACATTAATTTGTTTTATTATAGTAACCATTTTATCATATATGTATCTTACAACTTGTTGTATACATAAATATACACAATAAAATTTATTTATTTTAAATGATTAGAAACCCGGCAGGCTATGTGGCACATGCCTATAGTCCTATCAGCTCAGGAGCCCGAGGCAGGAGGATTGCAAGTTCAAAGCCAGCCTCAGCAACTTAACGAGGCCCTAAGCAACTCATGGAGACCTTGTCTCTAAATATACTATAAAATAGGGCTGAGGATGGGGCCCAGTGGTTAAGCACCCCTGGGTTCAATCCCTGGTACAAAAGAAAAAAAATCTGTTTAGATATTCATTTTAAATAGTTCATTTAGTGGCTCAAATATCTGAAGATAATAGAATTTACTGAGCATTATAAGCATTTCAAAGGTTTTTCTAAATACCATTAATAAATGCAGAAAATCTCCTAAAATACCTTCAAATAGAACTGGATATTAATATCTAAATTATACTAATATTCCCAAATGGACTTTTTTTTTTTTTTTTGATGGTGCTGAGGATTGAACCCAGGGACTTATGCATGCTAGGCAAGTCCTCTACCACAGAGCCACATTCCCAGCCCCTCAAACAGACATTTTAATGAATATTTACAAATGGATTTACTCAAATTTAACCGAAACTACTTCAATTAAAATGCTTAATATGTTTACCACCCAAAGCTATGCAAGGCTCAGTAAACCTTCATTGAATAAATGAACAGAGTGCAACAGAAAAAAGTCTGTCAGCTTACAAACATTTACTAAATTGTGGACTAAGTGTTCCTAGATCATAGAATAAATGGTCCCCTGAGTATATCTCTATATGATGAGATTACTGGTAACTTGATTTTTGGGGGGCTGGGGGTACCAGATATTGAACTCGGGGGCACTTGACCACTGAGCCACATCCCCAGCCATATTTTGTATTTTATTTAGAGGCAAGGTCTCACTGACTTGCTTAGTGCTTCACTTTTGCTGAGGCTGGCTTTGAACTTGTAATCCTCCTACCTCAACCTCCCATGCCGCTGGGATTTTAAGAGTGTGCCACCGTGCCCAGCTGGTAACTTGAGTTTTCTTTGTATTTTTATTTGTTTTCTTTAAGCAATGAATCACTAAAGGGTTTTTTTAACCAGAGGAAATAAAGGTTATTTCTATTTTGAGATAATTGAATAAAAGAATACTATTTAGACTATATAACATGGACTTCGATTTCTCATCAAGAGGAGTAACAGGGACTGAGTCTAAAACCTGAACAAAATATCTGAAATACTAGCTTTTAAGTCATTTGACATTAGGCAATGAAGTACTCGGATACTTGAGAGATGAAAGACAAATGAGCTGAGTCTGACCCTGCTCTTTTCCTACAGAGGACATGGTGCAGAGAAGTGAGAGCCAGGTGGAGTTCCGAGAGCTCATTGGTTTGAGGAGGTAGAGCTCAGAGTCCAGGAAGAACAAGATGGCTAGAGAATGCAGGACAGTTTACCAGAGATCAGAAAGCGCAGAGAGAGAACTCCAGAGATCTGTAGCAGGTCTCCTTGGAGAATTTGGCAATTGGTGTATGATCCACATATGAGTATGAGGAAACTGCTCAAGATCAGGGAAAGAACCACCTGAAAGAAATAGAAGGGATAAGGCTTGACATACACACAGGGCTGGAAACCTCCCAACTGGAAAAAAATATCACAGTCCAAAGGACAAGGTAGAGGACTGAAAAAGGTCTTGCATTAGCAGTGGGGAATAACCATTCCTAGAAGAAACCCAACCTTGGTCCCACCTATAAGGTATTATAAGCAAGACTCAAGAAGATCAAACTGCTTTCAAACAACTTACTGAATCTACTCAAGGTTGGTCAGTGAACATCAAGCATAAGAAACACAAAGAAAGCTACACAAAATCTAATCCTAATCAAACGCTCAAAACTAAAGATAAAATTTTAAAAGCAGGGCTGGGGATGTGGCTCAAGTGGTAGCACGCCCATCTGGCATGTGCGAGGCACTGGGTTTGATCCTCAACACCACATGAAAATAAAAAATAAAGATATTGTGTCTACCTAAAACTAAAAAAAAAATATAAAAAAAAAGTTTTAAAAGCAGTCACACACATACACACACAAACACACGAGACGATGTTCAGAGGAACAATCTGACAGCAAATTTCTTGTTGAAAATAATGCAAGTAAGAAAAAAGTAGAGCAATGTCTTTAAAATACTGAAAGAAAGATGGGCATGGTGGCGCACACCTATAATGTCAGCAGCTTGAGAGGATCACAAGGAGGCAGGAGAATCACAAGCTCAAAGTCAGTCTCAGCAACTTAATGAGGTCCTAAGCAACCTGGCAAAACCCTGTCTCAAAATAAAAAAATAAAAAGTGCCGGGGATGCAGCTCAGTGGTTAAGTGCCTCTTGGTTCAATCCCTGGTAATTGCTCCCCCACTCAAAAAAAAAAAAAAAACAAAACAGAACACAAAAAGATTCTCAACCTTAAAATGTATACCTAAAAAAATATCTTTCAAAATTATAAGTGGGGCTGAGTCTAGCTCAGTGGTAGAGTACTTGCCTCGCATGCTCAAGACCTAAGTTTGATCCCTAGCACCGCATATAAAAAATAATTTAACTAAAGAAGTTCATTACCTCAGACCTACACTATAAGAAATGTTAGGCTGGATTTAGTAGTGCAGGCCTGTAATCCCAGCAGCTGTGGAGTCTGAGGCAGGAGGATCGAAAGTTCAAAGTCAGCCTCAGAAATTTAGTGAGGCACTAAGCAACTTAATGAGACCTTGCCTCTAAATAAAAATACAAAAAAGGGCTGGGATGTGGCTCAGTTCAATCCCTGATACCAAAAAAAAAAAAAAAAAAAAAAGAAAGAAAAAGAAATGTTAAAAGAGATGTGGTGTCATCGTATGCCATGATTTGTCATGGACTCTTTCCTTCTGCTGGCATGTCCATCTTCCTTTTCTCTACCTGACTGATTCACATCACCAGTTCAGATGTTACTTTTCTTTTTATTATTTCTTGAATTCCTGCTATGTATGTATTTGACACTGCCAGACACAATGGATAAAAGATACATAAATAAAACATACACACTTTTCTTAGGAAGTTCACCGAAGTTCACTGCTTCTTATGAAGCATATGTACAGGAAGCACAGAAATGAAACAAGTAATTATAATACCATATGTGGAAGACTATTACCCAAGTGGTCCCCTATGAACTATGTCTCCTGGTTCATGCCCTTATATAGCTTCTCCAGTTGACGTTAGTATTAGCCATGTCATTGGGCCAATGGGACATAAGCTAGCATGACTGAAGCAGAGACTTGATAAGCATGTGTAAATTGGTGCATGCCCTCTTGGAACTTTCTCTTTTAGAAGCCAGTAGCCATGCCATAAGGATGTTCCAGCCATCCTGAAGGATGAGACATCATATGACAAGAAGAGGACACATGGAGAAGAACTAAAGCTCCCCAATTGTGCTCCCAGTGGAATCCAGCTACACGAGTAACCCCCCAATCACACTAAGCAGAGAAGAGCTGCCTGGTCAACCCACAGAATCATGAGAAATAAATAATTATTGTTTTAAGTCAATAAGGTTGGGGATGGTTTTTTTACAGTATAACCAGAACTTAGTGAATGTTTGTTGAATAAATGAAGACATTCTGTGGTTGGGTCTGAAAAATATTTGTCGAACATACTGTTTCTATAGGACAAAACTATCAACACAAATCATTCTAATCTATGTACAACTTATCTACTACTTCACACAGAGCTCCAGCAGATTATAGCTTAGTTAGATGGAAAGTTCAGGCTTCATTTTGTTAGTATAGACTATTTTCAGTGAGCAGTATAAAGAATATCATGACTTCCTAAAAATTTAGATAATTTTGCCAATATGTCATTAAAGCGAGAATCTGGGTGGAAGGTGGTATCCTTGCTCATATAAGATTAATTCATCTAAGACCCTGATCCCTACATAAGACACCTCAGGAGCCCCATATATAAAGAGAATCTGATCCTGAGTTCATTTTGAAAGTGAGATAAACAAACAGAAATCCTTTACAAACAAAATAAAACCCCAAATCTTACCTCCAGAGCCTTATCCAATTTGGCAGCTAGCCTTCCAATTTCATATAACAGCTGGGTGCTGACAGGAATCTTAGCAATAGGTTTTCCCGGGAGGTAAGTCAGTAGCCTCACCAAGTAGCTTTTGATTTCAGTGCCACTATCTAGATGGATAGAATGATATAACCTATCAACTCTTTTTGAAAAAGTTAATTAGAAGTTATTTGCATTGGCAATTATTACTGAAATAAAACTGCGTAATAAAAAAATGTGCTAACTGAACACAGCATTCTGAGGCAGAGCTGAGTGGATTAAAGTAAGCAGGTAGAAAGACAAATCTTAACACTGAAATTGGCCATTCACATACCAACAAGCATAGCTCTAACTTTGCTAGTCTTAGCTCTAAACAGAAATTACCTAGTTTGGTAAACACATGCCCCCAAACCACACTCATTCATAAATTTACAACTGAAATATAAACGAAAGACTATTCCTCCTGGGCACAGTGGTACAAGCCTATAATCCCAGCTGCTTGGGAGGCTGAGGTAGGAGGATTGCAAGTTCAAAGCCAGCCTCAGCAAAAGCGAGGTGCTTAGCAACTCAGTGAGACCCTGTCTCTAAATAAAATACAAAATAGGGCTGGGGATGTGGCTCAGTGGTAGGGTGCCCCTGAGTTCAATCCCCCCCCCCAAAAAAAATGACTATTCCAGAATCACAAGGCTTTTTCAGGGGCAAATTGCAGTATAGCCTGTTTGTAATACAGGACAACTTCTACTCCTCAGGGGCCCTACTGGTCCTCAGTTGTTTGGAGCAATGCAAATTAAGAAAGAATAAATGAACAACCAAGAGAGAAAAAGATAGTCAAGATTTCCAACCTTAAAAAGTTCCAAGAAAGTGATTTCAAGGTACTGCTTGTTGAATTAGATACTTCTTCGCATTCAGCATTGAGAGATGAAAGGGACTATGTCTCACAGATGAGGACTTGAAGCCTTGGGAATGTAAGTCATCTGCTCATGTCACATATACAGTAAAGACATAACTGGCAACATGCTGATTTCTAACCTTCTGTTTTTTCTACTATACCATAGCATCAAAATATGCAGCTAGTCTAATGAATAAATATATTTAATTGGGATGAGGGGAGTAACTCAGTGGTAGAAGGCTTGCCTAGCATGCCTGAGGCCCTGAATTTGATCCTCAGCACTGAAACAAATAAACAAACAAACAAATCTTGTGGAATACAATTTTTAAAATGTTCTACTGATTTCCCTGTAGTTATCATTCATCAGGGCCTTTCTAAGCAGAAATGCTATACCAGATCCCAGCTCTTACCACTGGGAGACCCAATTTCCACTGTGCAGCTTCCCCCAACCACTAGAAAAAATAACCACATCTATGCTTAGAATTATGATCCTGATTTTGATACTGTATTTCTACCTGTAGCCAAAATGCAGTAATGGGCCTGGAGAAGGGACATGCTGGCAAATTGGTCATCTCTTACCTATAGACATAAGAGAGGTTGTGTTGTCTCCTTTAGTGCGACACACGGAGGCCGTTGGAAATCCAGCTGCTTTCAGAAACATGATGATGTGATTCTGCACTTCAATCAGGTCTGGATTTTTGCTGGCTTCTGTGTTGCTTATTTTGAGAACATATTCAATTGGGCCATCTGTAGTATCTTTAATTTTTGAAATGTGAACGTGAAAGTTTTGGTCATCATAACTGGGAAGTGGCTGGATCTTAGAAACTTTTAACCCAAATACCGATTCAACTACCGCAGAGGCTTGTACCTCAGTGAAAGTTGGTTTGGCAAGAGCCTGTGACTGCTCATCATCTCCACTTGACATTACGTCTGGGGTAAAAACAAGAACCAGAAAGGGGATATAAACATAAGGATATTTATTTAGATGATTACTTCTTTTGATTATTAATTAAAGTTTAAAAAAATCATATCAGTGCATGACATCAAGAAGTAGATGTTTTGGCAGTTGATTAAAACCCTTGTACCATAAATTATTTTCAAACTTACCTTCTAAACTGAATAAGGACAGAACATAAGACAGGAAAGCCCCTTGATATCATCTAGTTCAATCTCTCTCCTCTCACCAACTTTACAGGAGAAATTTAGGTCCTAAGAGATTAAATGACTTGCCCAAGTTACATAGTCAATTTCAGTAAGAAGTCAACTCTCCAGACTGTTGACCAATGATCATGAAATCTTTACTACATTACCACCAGTCTTGGGCTAAAAGTTAAATTCAAGCACAGCAATCTTTTCTAGTCACAGTTTGTTATAAGAGTCAACATCTGACTTATTTCACATACTTCAAATATTAAAAAGAAAATGGGGACCAATGTACATTATGTAAAGCCTTCTGAAAGATGAGAGTAAGGGGCTTTGTAACATCTATTTATGGAGATAGGGTGGGGAAGACTATTTTCTCAGTGTTGGCAATTCCATCCTCAGCTACACATACCTGGCATCTTTCCTGAGCATCCAGATATATGTGAAGGGCAGTGTAGGACTTCTGAAAATCCTTAGGAACAAAATATTTAAGGTTCTTACAATTTTACCTTCCTTTTTTCCCAAAATAGTTCAATTCCAATCTTTCCTTCTTACTAAGTTGCCAATGATTGATAACATCTTGGGGTGAGTTGCATTTTAGGATATAGTTTGTGTGTGCATGTATATGTGGTACTGGGGATTGAACCCAGGGGTACCACTGAGCTACATGCCCAGCCTTTTTTATTATTTGAGACAGGGTTTCACTAAGTTGTTGAGGCTGGGTCTCCAACTTGCTATCCATCTGCTTCAGCCTCCTAAATAGCTAGGATTACAGGCATGTGTCATCGTGCCTGGCTATAGGGAATTTTTGGTGAAGAAAATGTTCTATATCTTACTTAAAAAAATTTTTTTTAGTTGTAGTTGGACACAATACCTTTATTTTATTCATTTATTTTTATGTGGTGCTGAGGATAGAACCCAGTGCCTCGCACGTGCCAGGCAGGCGCTCTACTGCTGAGCTACAATCCCAGCCCCTCTATATCTTACTTTTTATTTTTATTTTTTTATTTTTAACATCACTGGGGACCAAACCCACAATGGTAGGCAAGTGTTCTACTACTGAACTACACCCCCAGCCCTATATCTTGACTAGGCTTTCATTACATGAGTGCATATATTTGTCAAACCTCCACTTAAAGCTTAAATAAATGTAAGTTCTGTCAAGTTAATGTAAGCTTAAGTAAATGTAAACTGTCAATGAAAGCTTTACCTTAAAAAAAAAAAAAAAAGGTTAGCCCTTGTGAGAGATAGGTTAGGACAAGGAAGGGTATATCTTAGGACTTCCTGATAACTCCCAAAATCAAACTGTAAGAAAACGCACCACACTACAAATGGAAGATACCACATGACACAAATAACCAGAGAGGTTCCCCTTTATTACAAAAGGCTGTGGGTTTATATAGACCTAAGGAGAGGTGGCAGGTCTGAGGTAGATAATGGGTCACCCGTTTATTGGCAAGCTCTTCTATATGTCAGTTCCAGAGCCCAAAAAGTTAATTCTTATTGGGGCTAAGGCTTCCCACCCGCAGGACTTGAACATTGGCGTTGACTCGAACGTTTCGTGTCAGTGAAAGAAAAAAGAGGAGAAAGAGGGTCGTTAGGCTCCATGTTGGGGTTTTTCTCTGGGTGCTGCTGCCGTTATATGTTTTCCCAACACAAACCATATGTCCATTAACTTCAGCTCTATCACAGCTTACTCTACTGAGGGGAAGGAGATAAAACTCAGGGATGTGTCCTAGGCTCTTGTACATAACTCTCTCCTAACCTCAGGACCAACACTATAGCCTGACATTGAAGTGATAAGATGGGTATAAATCTCAAATGCTAACCACCCAGCAATGACCTTCGGCAAAGAAATTTCTCCCACCTCTAAACCTGCATTCCCCCTGTAGCACTGGTTGATTTTCTTTTCCTGTTATTGCATTCTTGACAATCACTTCTGTGCTTACTTTTCTTTTTTTTTTTTTTTAGAGAGAGAGAGAGAGAGAGAATTTTTTAAAAAATATTTATTTTTTAGTTTTCGGCAGACACAACATATTTATTTGTATGTGGTGCTGAGGATCGAACCCAGCGCCACGCACGTCTGTATACTAAAAAGTTGTTGAGTTGAAAAAATAAGTCATATTTTAGGTCAGTGATGGAGCACTTGCCTAGCATGTGTGAGACACTAGGTTGGATTCTCAGCACCACATAATAAAGTAAAGATAGTGTGTCCATCTACAACCAAAAAATATTTTTAAAAAGTCATATTTTATCTCTAGCTCTGCTACCTAACCTTTGAAACTTTGGACTAGCCACAAATTTTCTCAAGGTCCTTTCTAGCTTTAACATTCTTACGCTGCTAAAATTCTTCCTGAGATTAAATTTCCCCTTTTTCTTGTATGCAAAAGACTCCAAAATCATGGAACCAATGGCACAGATCAAGTCTGTTTCTCCAGTTCTTTTTATTTGAGACAGGGTCTTGCTAAGTTGCTGATGCTGGCCTTGAACTTCTGGTTCTCCTGCCTGAGCTGCCCAAGTAGCTGGAATTACAGGCATGTAACACGGGGACTGTCTGTCTTAACCAAATGTGCCCTGTGTGTGGAGAAGAAGGAAGGGGTTTCCAATCCTATAAGTTGTTGGTCTTTATTTCCTACCAACAATACTTTTGCTTAGCTCCTGAAGCAAGTGTTTTCCAGTCCCAAGGTTTGTGCCAGAATCTCACAATCTTTGACCCACAACCTGGACCTTAATCTCTGTACTTTGTGCAAGGTATACCACACAAAAAACAAAAGTCAATCTTCATTCTTTTCTCTCCCTCCCTTCCAAAGTGATACAAAGTCCAATGAACTCTACTTTAACACGTCTTACGAATACCTTTCTTCTGCAACCCTTTCTGCTGTGTCCTGCTATCACTGGAGAGCATGGACTGTATCCCAAACATCTAGCTGGGTGCCTTATTTAATATTAAATAATGAACCAGGGGTTGCCTTTACTCCACAGGCTCACAGGCTGTATACCTTCAAGGGAATCAAGAAACAGTAAAGCAGGGATTCTATAGACTTTTAATTTTTTCAAAGATAATAATAATGCGCTACTGGGTGCTCTGGGGGGTCTCGCTGCTAAGTAAGACAAAGAGCAGTGGCTCCCCGGAATACAGAGGGGCTGCTGACCCAAGAGGCAGGAAACTAGGTGAGGAGGAGGTAATAAAAGTTAGGTTCACAGCGTTAATATATAAGCAAGCTCCACAGAAGCATTAGAAATGGTTTCCAGCGTGCACCTTCCCTGTGCTGGAATCACCACACGGTCTCAAGAGGGATGGCCCCGCGGGCTTCACAGGTGCCACGCTTTGGTTCTGGGATATCAGCTCTGCCTCTGCGTTCCCAAGAGGTCCAGCCACAGAGCACAGTGACTTGCCACCACTCATGTAGCGAGTATGAGGTGGAGCAGGGTCCTGGAGGAGTCCCAGGAACAGGACTCCCCGCCCCAGACTCGCAGCGAGCCGGCCTGTTCTCGGAGATACCCTCCCCAGGAGTACCCGGGGCTCACCTTTGCTTTCCCCACCTCTGCTCACCACCACGATTCGACGTCCAGAGGTGGACCCACTCTCCGCAGCCCAGTGCTCCAGCTGCTGCAGCAAGACCAGGTGAGGTCCGAGTTGCAGCGTTCCGGCCCGCCCCTCTTCTAAACCCTGTAAGCCCTGACTTTTGATTGGCTCCTCCCTCCAACCCTCGCCGCGCAGTCAGTGCAGACTACTAGAAGGCAAAGGTTGCATGGGCGCGCCAGGACTTGGCTTGGCCCCGCCCCTGAGGGGGCGAGCAGAAATTCAGATATCTGCCTTCTGATTGGCTCATTGAAATCTGCCTCGCCTTCTCTTGGTGAGTACCCCAATCAGAATCTGGCTATCTGATTACGTAATTGGAACCTTGTTTCTGATTGGCCCCCTGAGGCTCCACCCGCCAGTGTGTCAGCCATTTGCCAGGCTTTTGGTCCTAGAATGCACTTTTCAGTTCCGCCCTGTCGGTGGAGTATCTGCGTGAACTTCAACCGTCAGCATTCCAAATGTTTGGATAGAGCTCTATACTCGTTTATTTTCCTCACACCCCTTCCCGTTCTCACAGGAAGCAAGTATCTTGGAGGCCATCTTCGGAAAACAAGGCCCGAGGTAGATTCGAGTCCATCCTGGCCTCAGGAACTGCAGGGGTCCCTATGGGAGGTCCAGAGTTGAGCCTGACTGCATTCCACTAGGTCTCTGACTTTCTCCGGATACTGAAATTTTCGAACCAAATGGTCTTATTTATTGAATAAGCCGACACACTAAGCCTCTAGGGGCACAGAGCCTCAAAGGATTTTGGTCATCCAACTTCCAGTTTCGGCTCTTGCCACAGCACAGAATTTTCTGCTCTCCTCCCAAGCCATTTAACTCAGTATAGTAGATGGTGAGGGAGAGGGAAAGCCTCCTTAATAAGCTTCCTAGGGGGTTGGCATCACAATAACTCAGGATGTGATGAACGACTCGTTTACATTGAGAAATAGAACTGGTAATTGGGTCAGAATCCTTATTTATGTAGTGCAATCAGTGAAAGTCTGCAGAGACTACAAGATTTTCAGGAGGCTGCCTGAGACTCATGGGATAACAGGTTAGTGGGATGATCCTAACTGCGAAGCGCGTAAGGCTCTGATTAGCTTGATGTCTTTCTCCAGCCAAGCAGGACTTCTCTAATAGGTCAGAACTTTCCAGTGGAAGAGCTCTGGATGTCTGTCCACCCTGGCCTGCACGTGGGTCTCTGTTTTGTACCCGCCCTTCTCACCCTATCTCCCCCACTCCCACACACTTTGGGTCAGGATTTAACGTGCTCAGGTTACCTATAGCCACCCTGATTGATTTGGATGTTTCCCAGACTTCTATCAGCTGTTGAATGATGACTCTTTTCCCTTTAGATATAGTTCGTTATCTGCTTCACTTCTTTTTTTTTTT